CCCAAACCCAAACCCAAACCCAAACCCAAAAAACACTTTTTATTTTATGTTCTCAGCATTTTAGGTCCATCTTAAAGAAGAGGATTCAAAAATAACTAGAAAAATATCAAGAAGAGGATTTCCTTATTCTAAATAAAAATTGAATCATCATCTTAAAACATAATAATGTTTGATATTACTTTTTAGCTTAATTTAATTATTTTAATAATTTTCTATATCCTTTCAAGCAGCATTCAAATAATAAATGAGAAAATAATTAATCTAATTAGATATTGTTATTGCACGCACAAAAGTGAAAAATATTTTCCTAGTACAATTGTGATACTTTTTTTTTGAATAATTGATTATTATGAAATAATTTAATAATTTCAAATTATTCATTTATGATTTCCTTTAATTATAATTTAACCATCTTCATACAATGTATAATTTATTGATTTTTATATTAATTTTAAATTGAGTTGTTGTGTTAATTCAAACTATATTAATCTATCTTAATATTCTGAATGAGCAAAAGGAAGAACGTAAAACTTAAACGATAAGATAATTATTAGTAAGTTATTGTTTTCGATTAAAGCTTAAACATAAATTTAACATATCATAAATATAGATTGATAATTTTAGAATGATTTATTACTCTTTTAATAAAAAATATTAAATTAACATAAAAAAAAGGATGATCTTAAAATTAATTATATACTTATTCTAATTTATTTTACATAAAAACTATAGCTTCTTTTTCATTTTTTCTATCCTTAACTTTTGATATAATAGCATTTATTAAAAAAACTATGATATTTCCAGAATTTGAAATCTTTTTTTTATTATAATTTTATTACAATTCATCATGGTTTAGTTAAAAATAACCAGAAAAGAAGATAAAATAATTCCTTATAAATTGATTGTAATAGAAAGAAAAAGGTTCAATATTCATGGTTGCAATTTATCTTAGAAAAAAAATCAGATCAATATATTTATTACTAACAATTTATTTGCATTTTTAATTTTTCATTCTGAGAGGGTAGTTGTTGGATTAATGAATTTTAATCTTGAATCATTAATCTTATTAATAAAAACATTTAAAATTCTTGTTATTTAAGTTACGTTCCTAAAGATGTGACGATAGAGTAAGCAACTTTTCTAATTTTAATTATCTATTTGATTGAAATTGGTGTGGATGTATTTACTTATATTTATAAATTAAAGAGCTTTTAATTCAAATATATTTTTAGGTTATGCCTAATCTTCTTTATATATGGTTCAGTGGATAAGAATAAGGAAGTAAAATATTGTATTAACTGCACTGATTGTTTTTTGAATCTTATACTTCTATGATTTGGACTATTAACTAGAATTAAGACAAACTTTCATCTTTATAATGGCTCTTACAATTAATAACTTAATAAGCTAATAAATTTTCATTTCCAAAGGCATCAAGTATGCAAATATTTTGTTATTGCTATTGACTTCATTAAAATCTGTAATTTTAATTAGTTATTAGTATTTCTCAGGTTTTCTAATGTAAACTAAACATGCCTCATCAAAATAAACAAAATAAGTTTTAATTTATTAATAGTCATAGTTTTTTTTTTTCTTTAATGTATCTATTGAGATTCTGTCAATTCAGAGGCTTTGAACTAATAATTTTATATTTCTCTAGACAACTTTTCAGATTCTAAACTTTTTCTATGATGTTTCTTTATAGCATTATTTAGTTTTTATTATGGGAGTAAAACTTTCCCTCCTGTATTTATTCTGGATTTCTCTTAAGAAACGTAATAGTTTTTTCCTTTCTAGAGTATTATTTTTACAAGCTTTGTTAATAATATAATGTATTTTACATCATCTCGAACCAATCCAATTATATTCTTTGTCAGCATCATTTTCGAAAATCCAATTTTAATTAATTAGTGTATGGAGACTATTTTTATCTGCCAATTTTCTACATTTACTCCCAAGGTTGTTTATTCAATGAAACAGATGATTGCCTTCTTGAATGGTGTATAAAAGGAGTCGTTTCTATTATAGTAGTTAACTTAAGAAACCATTTTTAGAACACGCCAAATATCTTAAATGCGATTAAATTAATTTAGTTTTACCAACAGCGGCTACTTTATAAATTTACTTTTGGTGGAATTTTCTTCTTCATAATCTAAAGAATAAAGATTGCAGACCAACTTAGGATATTGTCATATCTTTTACATCACTAATATAAGCAATTAAAAATAGAAATTTATAGAATAATATATTTTGATAGTTATTTCATTTTTTTACAATTTTGGAGACAGAAATCAAGCTTAAGTTATAACAAACTTATTATCGAATTTCCATTTAATATCAAATGTAATTCCTATTCTTGGAAGATCACAATAACTCTATCTATATTTAATTTATTTAATGGTAGGGTTAAATCTAAATTTTATAGTAATGAAATATTTTTCAGAGTATTCTATAATGATATATTAATAAATCATCCTTTCAAGAGAAAATAGCCAATTTTAATTATAGCTTAATTCATTTACTATTTTATTAAAATCACTTATATCTCCATTTCCTTCTGTAATGCGATGCTGAACTTTTAGATTTGCTTTTAGTTAAATCTATTGGATTATGTATTTTTATAATTGTAAGATAATTATTGTTAAGATCTATTCTAATTTATATAGTATTTGCTGATTTAAATAGATTGGTATTTCTCCTTATTAAGTACTATTCATATATCTAATAAAGGGCAATAAATTACGGTTTTATTCTCCCGTAAAAGTAGACTCTATTCTTTTGTGTAATAAATAATAATGAACTTGAGAAATTTTATCTTAATAAATATCAAATTGTTATATTGTAATTGCATTTCTAGTTATTTATAAGGAGAATTAAAATTGCTCACCAATTATTCAGGTAAACTCTTTTGGATTATGGACAAATCAATTATTTTTTGTAGTGGATCAAAATTACATAATTTTCAGCATCCGTAAATAAGATATTTTTTTTTGAAGAAAGATTTCTTTAACATACTTGGGGCTAAATATATAATTCGATGCTATAAAATTGAATGAAAAAAATACATTCTTGGATAATTTAAGATTGGATGGTACAAATGTAAATTACGGTGATTGCTCAATTTAAACAATCCAATTTTTGGCATTTCTAAATTCCTTACTTGATAAATCTTATTGGAAAAGTAAATAAATCCCATATTGAAAGATTTCCCATTCAAGTTTTAAGTTGTACTTTGTGGATTGAATAGGTTAAATTATGCTAGTGTGAATTTGAATGCTATGGTATTATAAATTATTCATCAGATTAATGTGCATACGAGTCCTGAGAATATTCTTATATCACGACTTGCATTAATTATAATTTAATACTTCTATTATGATAGACTATTGTAGGGTGAGATATAGGAATTACAGAATTTTAATCTTACTTCTAATGGTTTACTAAAATGATGGTGATAGTGCGGAAAGAGGCTCAAGGACTGAAATTCCAATTCTTGGTATTTTTTTAAGATTAATAATAATAATAATAATGTTGATATTGAATGATGTATCACTATGGACAGTCCATAGTTCTAGGTCCATACTTAATGGACAGGAGTGCTTAAAAATTTCTTGTATGCTGAAGGTGAATCCACATAAGGGGTTTACCATCATCTCGTCAAATCAAATCTTTCCCATACCTGTGTGTCTCAAACTCTAGCTCATAAGAGCAATGAGTATCTTCCATTCTGTTATTGGAAATAAATTTCTATAGCATTCCTAAAATCGTTTTCTTACTTGTTGTCATTTTATTCAGTACCGCCCTATTGGTTTATTATCTGTGAAAAACTCTGATATTTTTGATCCTTCATACAAGAAGTTCAAATAAGAAGGGAGTCCATTTATCGTTTCCGCAGAGTCTGATATGTCATTATAAAAGAGAGTTTGTTATATAAATTCTTAATTAAATTTCATCGCGATCGATTTTCTCTTGGTCGAAGAGCTCTTTTCTGAAAAAGCTTTCAATCTTTTCAATTTATGATTCCTTTTTCTCCCTGTCACTCCTCTTTTTTACGATTATACCATAAAGACTTCAGCTATTTGACCTTCTTAAGACCTTTCAGGTTATATTTACTCTGTTCAGCTGGGATTAGCTTTTTTTTTCTTCTGCTATACTAATACTAATGTATTAAGACCGATCTTAAGTTTATACTGGCTTTTATAGCTTTACAATTTTTCTCATTATAAGATGCATCAAGGTTATCAAATTATTATCTATGTAAAAGAACATAATGCCAAATTCCTATGTCATTTTCCATTCTATGGAAGGTCTTTTTGTGGTCTCTAATCCAATAAATCTTAACTAGGAATGAGTTACATTTGTGTATCACTATTCTTGCTTATATGGTTGTTAGGACATTTTCAAACCATCATTTTGAATTCTATCATTCTGATAAAATCTTATTGTTACAAAAAAATTTCAAATTTAAGAATCTCATATCCTCTTCATGTTTTTGTTATCCGAATTTTGTTACTATATTAAGTGGGGCACCAATATTTGAAAGGTTTTGCCCATTAACCATTGATGTCAACCTTCAACCCTACTTCCTTCATTTTAATTTTCAGGACTTCCAATAATTAGTAGGACTTATCTTTCTTTTCAAACCAACAGGACATCATTCTCCTAAATATGAGGTCCCCTTCGGTCTCTCCTTATTTAGGTCGCGATCCACAAAAGGATAATTATTTTAAAACATGATCCTCCATGTAAACTTTCTCCATTAATGTCCTAATCCTCATCATTTTCATTTTGGGGCTTCTTCCCTTTGAAACAAAATTGTATCTTTTTTTCGCGAAAAATTTCAAGTTTTTAAAAAATTTAAGAACCAGAATTCAACGAAAATGATAATGAAGAGAAAAAAAAGATTTATCATAAATATATTATGTAATAAGAAGATTATAGAATTTCGAAAATTAATATTTCATCTTACTGCTTTAGATGAGATATACATAAAGTGTGGATCAAATTCTCTTCATTTATTAGTTTTAATGAAAGTCGATTTGAAATAATAATGTTTTGAAATACTAAACTTGGAATACCGTATTGTTAGGAGCAAATTTATGAGATATGATTAAGTGGATTTCATTTTGACAATGGCATTATTATTGGAATGAATTTGAATCAAGAAAGATTATTTAATTATAAATAGAGGAAATTAATAATATCAACAACAATGCGATAATCAAGTAAATCTAAAATATTTACATTGAGACGTCATAAGAAACACGTGAAATGCAAAAAAGCCACTATCATTTATCAGTCTGACTTTAGAAATTGTACTAAATGCAATTCTTAACAGTCATATGTATCTTTTAAGGATTTAATTTTAAAAGGGAAAAGATTTTAAAGTTTGGCTAAGTGATATAAGTATGTTAACTTAATGCGATGGATTCTCCAATTTAATGACGCGCTTGCCTTCTAACAAATTACCTTCTTTTTCTTGAATATATCATGAAACTTCCCACATCCTGTTTTGGAGCATAGCGTGACCATAATCACTTTTACAAGTTGTAATAGTGATATTATTGAATGCACATCATAACTTTTATCTTGATTTCACCATCATCACATGCTAATGAATGGTTGTTATTTAATGATATTTGTTTGATCAATTTAAGGCTTCCTATTATTTTAGTTTAAGTAATCAATCGTAATATTAACAATGTTGATGATATAT